GTACAAACTGTATGTGCTATTGCCCTACACCAACCCTACCCCTAAACCTACCCCTTACAGGAAACTTTGTGCATTCTTAGATTTTCAAAAAACTTCATTCTGAATGATTTATAAGCCTTTTCAATTACGGGGACACTCAAAATGTCCTCATAAAGCACCTTCTCGTTGTAATACCTATGTCATACCCATGTCATTATACAAATTTGTGTCCTCATAAACCACATAAACATGCAACAAGCTCATTTATCCAGCTTTCAGCTGATCTATAAATCTCAATTTCACAAACTGACCCTTATGACTGGTTTTGTGCTCCAGATAATAAAAACTAAATCTGACTAGTATTACGGTGAACTGGGTGTGTGAACACGGATGCGGTCTGTGTTTGTGTGTGATATATCAGATGGAGTGGGTGGAGTGTGGAATGCTGGAATCTGTGTGGGCGGGCCTAGAATCCCAGCGCGAGCCGTGATTGGCTGCGGAGGACAGTGGGCGGAGAACAGAATCAAAGAGTGCACTGTTGATGTGTGTGTGTTTGACTCTGCATGTTTACACACACACACACACACTCGCGTCCCGAGACTGGAGATCTGGCTCAGACAGGTGGACTTTCACCCCAGATTACTCTAATCCATCCGCTGCTGCTGGGATTTCTGGGATTGACGGATTACAGTTCAGAAGCCGGCGAGCGTCTCGTGATGAAGGAACTGAAGGAACGTCACTGAGGTCTCACCAAGACTCGAGGACGCTAGTAACTTCACTGCATTTTTTTGTGAAATGAACGGTTCTCAGTTCGTTCTCTGCAGTGCATTTTCTTGTCTTTTTTGTAGTCCATTTTAATTGCATCCGGTTTTAGCTTAGTATTATTTATATACTATTGTAGTTTCATTCATATTTCAAATTGCCTTTAATTTAGTTGCATTTTTAGTAATTCATGTGCTTTTTTTTTTATATAATTAGTTTTAACTTGGTGTTAGTTTTTATTTATTTTCTAGTCAGTAATTTAGTGCTTCAACGTATTTCAATTAGTTGCCAAGGCAACATTTCTCATTTTCATTTCTGATTGTTCATCTAATATTTATATTTGATTATAATTCCAGCTTTATTTCTATTAACAGAAATGCTTTTTTTTATTAGTTTTAGCTTTAGTTTTATTTAATAATAATAACCCTGAGTGCATTGCTGTTTTCAACTCATGTATTACATGTATTAAATGTACAAAGTGTGAAATTTAAATATTAGTATTGAAATTAATTTTTTTATTAAGTTTTTATTTATTTGCAGTGCAATTTAGTTAGCTGACAAGTTGACAAGCAATATTTAAAGTTTTTCATTTAATATTTATATTTGATCTAATTTCATTTCAATTAACAGCGACAACAAAAAAACCTAAATAGTTTAAACTTTGGTTTTAGTTAATGATAATGAGTGCATTGCTGTTTTCAAGTTTAGTTTTATTACTTGTATGAAGTTTAAAATTTAATACAGTCACTCTGATTCTTATATAACTATTTGAATTGAATTTATTTTGATTCATTTTAAGGTCTAGCTAGTCGTTTTAGTGCTGTAACTTACATTTATTTCAATTATTTGCCAAGGCAACATTTCTAATTTTCATCTGGTTTAAGTTTTTCATCTAACATTTAGATGTTAGACAACAGCTGATGACGGACAGCGGCGTCTAAAAATGACTGTTCGTCCTGCGCCACAGTAAATCTCGCTCTTGTTCTGCTGATGCGAGTGTTTCGTTTTGGTGAATGAGTCAGATCCTGCCCGGATGTTTCTGAATGGGGTCGGAGGAAACAATTACACAATGACTCTCCCTGACGGCGTGTGAAGTCAACTATGATTGCGCTTCCTCTCCATGTGTTTGCGTGTGATCTTCTCCATGTTTGTCAACGTACGCAAGATGGTGTCCATTTTCGAAAGCAAAAAACAGCCTCGTCCTCTGTCACTCCCTCCGTGTAAACAAACACAAAGAGAGAACGAGAAAACAAGCCTGACCTCGGAGCCCCGCCCCTCCTCGCTGAGCCCCGCCCCCTCAGCTGTGGTTCATAGGCCACGCCCCCACGCAGGAGAACGAGTGCGAGACACCGGAGGAGTTAAAGCCTAGAAACAGCCCAAAAACTAACTAGTAACAGCTTAGAAGCTACCTAGAAACAGCATAGTAACTGCCTAGACATAGCCAAGAAACTGCTTAGAAACCATCTAGAAACAGCATAGCAACTGTCTAGAAATAATCTAGAAACTACCTAGAATCAGCATAGTAACCGCCTAGACATAGCCAAGAAACTCCTTGGAAACCATCTAGAAACAGCATAGCAACTGTGTAGAAATAATCTAGAAACTGCCTGGAAACAATCTAGAAACTGCGTGGAAACAGCATAGCAACTGTCTAGAAATAATCTAGAAACTACATGGAAACAGCATAGCAACTGTCTAGAAATAATCTAGAAACTGCCTGGAAACAGCATAGCAACTGTCTAGAAATAATCTAGAAACTGCCTGGAAACAGCATAGCAACTGTCTAGAAATAATCTAGAAACTGCCTGGAAACAGCATAGCAACTGTCTAGAAATAATCTAGAAACTGCCTGGAAACAGCATAGCAACTGTCTAGAAATAATCTAGAAACTACCTAGAAACAGCATAGCAACTGTCTAGAAATAATCTAGAAACTACCTAGAAACAGCATAGCAACTGTCTAGAAATAATCTAGAAACTACCTAGAAACAGCATAGCAACTGTCTAGAAATAATCTAGAAACTACCTAGAAACAGCATAGCAACTGTCTAGAAATAATCTAGAAACTGCCTGGAAACAGCATAGCAACTGTCTAGAAATAATCTAGAAACTACCTAGAAACAGCATAGCAACTGTCTAGAAATAATCTAGAAACTGCCTGGAAACAGCATAGCAACTGTCTAGAAATAATCTAGAAACTACATGGAAACAGCATAGCAACTGTCTAGAAATAATCTAGAAACTACATGGAAACAGCATAGCAACTGTCTAGAAATAATCTAGAAACTACATGGAAACAGCATAGCAACTGTCTAGAAATAATCTAGAAACTACATGGAAACAGCATAGTAAGCATAGTGTGAATTGAAAATACGCCTAATGGAAACACGTCAATTTCGCAAAAACTACCATATATCACAAAAAAAGTTTTTAAGCTCACATGAGGTGGTTTATCAGGCAATTCAAAAAAGGATTATTTAGCAAAACTGCAATGGAAAAGTTTTTTTTTTTTTTTTTTTTGCTTTCACAGGTCACCTGGCGTACATGAAAGTCACATGATCATTCTTTCAGAAACACCTCATACATCTGAAGTATGAGGGGATTTTCTCCTTATTTACACTGCGTTACAGCTCCGACATGGCCATCGCGTTTCAGAGACATTACTTGTCGCGAGAGGAAAAAAATTGTTTTATTCGTATAACATCGGTTAACGGAAATGCTGTCAATTCGCAATAGGTTTTTTATCGACATTTATAAAACATCGCAAAAGTTTTGCAGACCCAGCTAATGATTGTTTTATTTTGTGTTTGAATCGTTTGTGCTGAATCAGTGAGTTGACGGTTTATATACTTGATTATCGAAGTAATTAATGAAAGTTCTTTTCTGTTCAACTCTCACAGCGGAACTAACAGCAGCATGATCGCCATCGACAACAAGATAGAGCAAGCCATGGTGAGAACATTCAGAATAATAATAATAATAATCACAGAGAATACAGATATCGTCTTTGTTGTAGTAGTAATTTAAATACGTTTGACGGTTTAACTTCTGTTAAAGTGTGTTTGAGTGTGACTGCTGTAATGTGTGTGTGTGTGTGTGTGTGTGTATTCACAATATAATGTGCAGCTTAAGCAGTAGATGGCAGCGCTCGCGACACCAGGGTCCCGGGTTCGAATCCCCAGGAATGCGTGCTCTGATGAGATGTGTGTGTGTCTGCAGGACCTGGTGAAGTCTCACCTGATGCTGGCGGTTCGAGAGGAGGTGGAGGTGCTGAGAGAGCAGATCAAAGAGCTGTCGGAGAGAAACGCTGAGCTGGAGAGAGAAAACTACATCCTGCGAGCGCTCCGGGACAGAGACTGAGCCAAGTGCATCATGGGAGATGTAGTTCAGCGTGAAAAGGGATGGAACGGTTAAACGTGTGCAGTATTGAGCGATGAGTGCCTTAAAACGCAGTAACAACTAATCAAGAAATTATTCAATAATGTTGATGACGCCCTAAACAGTGCCTATATTTATTACTGCCAGTGTGTGTGTGTGTGTGTGTGTGTGTTTGTGAAAGCACTGCTCACACAACTAGGTTAATGAGTCTCTTTATGTTGCCATGGTTAAACCAGGACTG